AGTGGAGTAATGTGGAGCTCTTGCAAAAGAAGCAGCGGAACACAACTTGGTCAGCGATATAAAGCGGGACATAACTAAATTCGGCACTGTCTTACTTGAATCAAACTGGAGTAGCTTACGACGAAAATACTAAAGCAAAACTCCAACGGACATGAACGTATTGATTTGTGGGCCAAAAGCATCAAACACTTCGGGAATTTCGGACGCCATTTCCTCGCGTTGTATCTGCAAAAATCCACGCAGCATGTACGCGCGTGTGCCGCACTTGATGGCGCAATTTGTTCTAAAAATAGAAAAATTGTCCCATATCATGGGGACAGCCCCAATACAAGAAATGGTGCGCGCTTACGGTCTCCGTCCCCGATTATGGCTCCTGGTTTATACTGAAGATTAAACAAACTTTTCAAAAAGGTTCGATTAACATCGCTGCTACAATGGCAACAAATAGACCTTTTTCGACTGGGCGGTTTGTTGCCCCATTTCAGACCATGTGATGATAGTCTTGAGAATTCTTCCTTTCAGATTTTCAAATAGTCGTGTGCATATGAATAAATAATTCTAAGATGGTTAAAAAAAATGCTCTAGGAAAACAAAGCGCCCAAGCGAAAAAGGTCTATTGACGGCGTTGCGGCTTCCCGTTATCAACAATCTTTTTCGAATCTAGATCTGAACTTTTAAAATGACCTAAAGCCTCTTGAATTCTGGATGTAGATCTTCAAGACTGAAAAGTTTGAAAAAGTTCTGTGAGAGTGTTTTCAAATAAATTGGGTTTATATCTGCCGCCTTGGCTTCTGGGGAAACAGCTATTGAGCATTTTCACTTCCAAAACAATGAAACGGAGGACATGTTGGTGTGCGGGCAACCCTAAAACCAGGAAACCGGAGAACGGAACGGACAGTAATCGTATTTCTAGTTTTCTGACGGACTCTTTCAAGACTACCAGCTACTAGCATAACCCCCTGACCGACTATCAGGTAAACATGCAATGTGATTAGTTACCAACTGGTGGTCTAATTATCGATGGCTGGTTAATACTTAAAATTCTTTAACTTCGCGTTTCGTGAAATTTCTCAAGTAATAATATTTCTGTTTGTTTTTTGATGGATCTGGCAGTGGGTTATGTGGGTTATGCTGACACATTTGACGGCTTGCTTTCGGTTCGCCAACTATCAGCCTTTACAGCTTACTACTAAATGTTCTCCGATTCTTATTGGTTTAAATTAAGCACGGGGTGCTTGAATCACGGTTACATTTCTGCGATTTCTAAGATTGCAGACCATTTTTCAAAAATCAGTAAATTTTGCAGGCCTCAGGTCTCAGCTATCAGAACGCCTCATTTCTCAGTTAACAGTTTTGACCCATTCTCTATCCAAGGTATCTATCCTCCAGCGGCGGCAGCACTATAGTAAATTTATTGAAATAAATTGCACTGGGAATTTATATTCCCAGTGGAATGGACATCTCCCAGCCGACAGAGGATAAATACAGCCGAGAACAAATACCCTCCAAACCCGGTCACCCTAAAACGCAGACCATGCAGACTGCAGACCGCGGACCGTGCAGACCATGCAGACTGTGCAGACTGAGTAATTTTTTTTCTTATCCTTGTTTTTGCATTTACTTTTGACTCACATTTTTGTGGTTCTCGCCACAAAATAGTGTTCAATTATATATAAAAGTGTTCGTTCTTATGACCATTTATGCACTTGCGCTAGGCCGCGCAAGCTCTATATAGTGACTGTTGATTCAATAAACAAACGCGCTATAGACTTTGTAAGGGAAACTCCCTTTAGTTCTAAATATACTTAAGTAAAGTTATTTTAAAATGTACAAATAAACTTCACTTGTAATGTAATGTCACGCGGAAAATGTACATTATCTACTCTTGGTATATCAAATGTAATTCTAAATGGCTGTTGGAACGTTACCACGATCACGCCAAAAAAAGCCGAGTGCATGTAAAGATTACAGAAAACCGAATATAATTTGAAATTCTCGGCGCAATACGGTTGCCGTGATGAGTTCATGTGATGGTAAATTTATCTGGTTTTATGACAGTGGGGTTTTAATGGCGACTTAGACTAAGAATGGTCCCTCTTTCGCCTAGTCCGTCGTGCGTGACGCGAAAGCAATCCCGGCAGAAATAATTTCGCGCGGAAATTTTTTTCTCGAGGTTTTATTTACGGTCAGGCTCAACGCACTAAGCTACCAGGAAGGGAAATAGAAAATACTCGTAGTCTAATGGGTATGGTATGTTGCTTTGTGACGCAAAAGCAATTTGTGGGACGACGTCGCTTCGATTCACCGTCCTTACTTCATTTATGTGGAGGAACGAAGACCACAGAAACAACAACAACAACAACAACAACAAAGTGCACATACCTTTCTCCATTTCGCGAGCAAACGCGTCAGGATTTTCCCGTTTTCTCCACTTGGGAGGTTCCAATGTAGTTCTAAAGGATTCGTCAGAAAAAGACATCGATTCTGTAATAATATCATATAATTGTGCTCTATAGAGCGTTTAGATTTACGTGACAGTAGCCATCCAAATTTATTGGAACAAAAGAAACTGTTCACATTAAGCCTTGTCCACACTACCCTGAAAAAATTTGAAAACGCAGTTTTATTTCTCCGGTTAGGCCTACCGTCCACACGAATCCGTCACGAAAACGGAGGTTTTCAAAAACACTCATCAAACCGGAGACATTTGAAAACGGTGGCTTACGAAAACATTTTGAAAACGGAGCCTTTCGAAAACGATGACATAACGATAATCATTTGAGTTCCTTGGCCGAGTTTTCTTCAAACACAAATCCAAAATGACCAGTGATTGTTGC